ACAAACCAAAAAACAAACAAACTTCTTCCAGACTTTGAACCCAGATACCTCAGAGTTGACTTAGTCACCACCAGCTCTGCTATTCAAATGTCGGATGGATATCATGCAAAACAGTTAAAAAATGCTGAGGGATTTGGGTTTTGTTTTGTGTTGAGATGAGGTCTTTTTTCTTTTCTTTCTTTTTGTTGTTTTTGAGACAGGGTCTTTCTTGCTGTGTCACCCAAGGGCTGTCCTGGAACTCACTACATAATCAAAGTTGGCCTCAAATTTCCTCTCCTGCCTTAGCTTCCCTGGTGCTGGAATTATAGACATATGCCACTATGCTTAACCAAAGACTGAGTTTTTTAAGCATATGAATGTTATCTAAGTTATAAAATAAGGGACAGTCAATATTGCTAATTCCTTTAACAAATATCATTGGGCAGTCATTACATGCCAAAACACTGGCCTGGGGTTTAGTGAGGGGTCCAGCAGAGAAGACAAGAAGTCTTTTTAAGGAGTTTTCCTTGGGGGAGACAGACAACAAACATAAAACCCAAAGGGTCAGCCGACAAGAAGGCCCAGCAGATTAAAGTACGTACAGAACAAACCTGATGACCAGGATCTGACTCCTGAATCCCACAGTGAAAGGAGAAAACCAAATCCTGAAAGTTGTCCTGTGACCTCTACATATTCATCATGGCATATGTGTACCTATACTCACACATACCACTCACAATAACAATAATAATAATAATAATAATCATATAAAAGCCATAGCACATAGTATACAAGGTAATAGGAGGCTACTGCTTGAGGTTAGTGAAGGAATATCTCTCTGAGAAGATGATATTACATCCAGACGTGCTTTAATACCAACACTTGGAAGGCTAAGGCAGAGGGAAATCTGTGAGTTCAAGGCCAGTCTGGTCTACAAAGTGAATTCCAGGTCAGTCAAAGCTACACAGTGAGATCCTATCTCAAAAAAAAATTACAGCTGAGATCTGGCTACAACAAAACCTGGAAAAAGCACTTCTAACAGAAAAGCCAAGCAAGACTTGGGAGGCAGCAACAAACCTGTTGTGTTTCAGGAAGGTGGGGGAGAAAGGCTGGGGCAAGATGAGCTCCCAGAGTAAGGAAGACCTCAAAGGTCCTGTTGCAGACTCAGTGGCCGGCCGGCTCGTGTTTGCAGGGCAGGTTTGTGATTTGGAGAGAGCACAAGAGTGTGGGGAATGTGCTGTAGGGTCTCAAGGTGAACCACGACACTGGCTGGAAGGTGACTTCAGGCGTGCAGGAAAGAAGGGAGCAGGTTTAGACTAATGGTGCAGCAGGAGGGGAGTGGGACCAGCTACGTGTTAAGGCAGGGCACAGCAGCCCTCCGAAACAGCCCTGTCCCCACTTCTCCGTCAGATTTTCTTTAAGTACTCACCTTTCTGATTGCTCAGACCAAGGAGGTGAATCTAGATCATTCCAGATCTTCATCCTCTCCCCCCCGAAGTTGGTTGTGGAATAGGCTAGTGAGTCATAAGGATGTCTGCTAATGTGTCCCTCGCCATCCCTTACCTTTCCATTTTTCTTGCAGAGGGTTTTTCTCTTAGATGAAAAGAAATGTAAGAAAACTTTCTCCTTCCCTACCTTAATACAGTGTCATATGAAGTCATGATACTCAAGTTTCTGCAGCCATTTTATGATCATGAGAAAAGATGTCATCAGTCTACTGAGGATGCGAGAGGAGAAAACTGGAAATACTGGAATTATCGAATTAACCCTGGATTAACCCTGAATTAACCATTGAATTAACCCTGGATCGGTCCTACTCTAACTTCTAACAGGGTAATAAATATCTGCATTGTTTAGGCCATAAATAGACATACATTCCATTTTTTTGTTGTTTTTCAAGACAGGGTTTCTCTGTATTGTCCTGGAACTCTCTCTGTAGACCAGGCTGGCCTCGAACTCACAGAGATCCTCCTGCCTCTCTCTCCCGAGTGCTGGGATTAAAGGTGTGTGCCACCAATGCCCGGCTACAATACATTATTTGAAGCCCCCCAAAATATTGTAAAGAGCAGGAAGGCAGGCGAGGCATGGTGGCATACACCTGTAATCCCAGACATCCTGGAGGGGGCCGGGAGTGCGCCAGAGGTTGCAGGGGGAGTAATAAAGTTTTTTTCTTTTCCATTGTGTGAGGATGCAATGTAATTTTATTCTTTCTGTAAAGCCCTAGAAACATTACAATACTTATGCAACAAACATTCAACAATCCCAAAGTAGAAATGATATAATGAAAACTCTAGCTGGTTGTGCTGGTGCACACCTGGAACCCTAGTCCTCAGGAGGCTGAGGCTGAAGGATCATGAGTTCAAGGTCAGTCTGGGCTACACAAGGAGATTCTGTCTCTAATAATAATAATAATAATAATAATAATAATAATAATGTAAATAAATATGTTATAAAGTATCAGTCACAAGCTCCAGGGATTGGAAAGTGGATATAAAGGGGCATTATTCTGCCTACCACAGTTGTTAAATGTGAAGACAGGTCTGGAATGAACTCCCAGTACTAAGGTACATTTGACAACTGGGATTTCATATGACTGCAGAAAAAGAGTTAGCAGAGGAGACAGGTCTCCTTGTGAGGCGCCATCATCTAGCACCTAGGACTCTGGTTCTCAATGTTCCCAGTCAACAGTGGGTGGATATAGACAGATCACTGTAAATAGACTGCCTAGGCAATACGGTTTGTGCCAAATACTCACTTTCCACTATGATGCTAAGATTTTGGTAAGTGGTAGGCAGAGGTGCTTATGGGGCAAGCCTCCAGGAAAATCTCAGCTACTGAGTCCCCAGTGTGTTTCCATGGGTACTATATCCCTTGAGGCTTGGGTATGGAAACCTGACCAAGTCAAGTGAATGAAGAAAGACAGAGACACAAACAGAAAAGCTAGGGTCAGGTGGACTGTGAGCACTCCGGTGGAGACCCACTAACTATTGAAACAACTAGAAACTTAGCACATTTATTATGTATAGCACAGGGAGAGGAGTTAGTCTCTGTAAGGGAGCACTCTCATGTTGTAAACATCTGGTGAAGCTGCGGTTGCTAGTTTTTGCTTACACTGACCAAGGGTTCGTAAACATTCACACTTGGACCAGAAGAAGGCTTTGCCATTCTGAGCCTGACTGAAGAAGGCTTTGGTGCTTTCCCATGAGTCTGAGGTTGGCATGACTGTGCCCACATGAAAAACACACATGCACTCAGGGCATCATTCACTAAGTTCTTACATGTTCACTCCGGTCTTCATTGGCTCCCCACACATGAACGGAAGTAGTGCGGGGAGATGTTACTGGTTTTTGTGTTGAAGGAGAGCACTTTTGCATGAACTCTGATGGGAGGTAAGAAGCATAGGCTTCCCCAGGCTCCACCAGCGTCTTTCCCCTTCTAACCCAGTTTGCCCATCATTGCTACATAACTGCTGTCTACCTCAGTCATGAGCACAATTATGTGAAAAATCTGTGAGTCCTAGGGACTCTTCACACATGGAGGGGACTTGGGGGATGCTGCAACCCAAAAATTCTTGCTCTTTTCATATGCCAACACCATGAAGTCCAAATAAAATCTTTCTTCATTTGTTTGTTTGCTTTTTGCAGTACTAGGGACTGAACCTGGGCCTTGCACATGCTAAGCAAACACTGTATCACAACGCTAAACCACCAGCAGAATGAAACATTTCTGAGAGGGACTTTGGCCACTCAACTGTTCAGTTGCAACTCCTTCAGGGCCCTATGAAGTGTAACAATTCATTGAATGAATGCAAGCTTAGCAAATGTTCTAAGTGCCATGCTAAGATCCAGGGACTAAAAAAACAACAAACGAAACTGAATGATGCAACATAGCCCTTGCCTTCAGGGATGTAAGGCAGGACCATAAACAACTAGAGTGGTCTGCAGTACATACATTAAGATAAGTGCGAATAGAAGCTATGGGAATCCAGGTGGTTCTATGTACATTGCTCTGCTGGCTGTGTACACAGTTTTGCACCTGTCTGGCGCTCACAACTGAAACGGTTACCTCAGTTTTTACAAACGAAGAGCCGCATCCAAAAGTCAAGTTTAGAGTTTTGCCTGATACCTCTTTTGTATCTCTCCTGCTGTGTGGATACACAAGGAAACGAGAGAAAGACCGCAAAGTGGTCACTGTGTCCTGTGGTCATCAAGGCTCTTTCCTCTGACAAGACCATGACTCATGTGTGGAAGCAGCCTAATGCCCTAAATGTCCTTGTTCATTTCTGTTTTATGAATGAGCGCCTTACCCCTTCTCTCCTCCTCGCCCCCCCAATCCTCCCCCCCACCCCGTGCTGTGGATTGAACCCGGGACTTCACAAATGATGGGCAAGCATGTCACCAACTAAACTACACCTTCAGCCTCTCCTGATGAACATTAATTCTCCTAATCAGATGGCAAGGACTGGGAAGAGAGAGTTTGTCAAATGTATTCTTTTCTGCATCTTCTCAAAATCAAACGCCACTAGCTACTTTGTTGTTAGAAAGTTGCCATCACACGGTACTATGTTATGTTGTCAAACAGCCCTGTCGCTAAGAAGAGGATGGGAAGAAAGACCGGTGAATCTTTTCTGAGTGACAACCAGCCTGGATGTCTTAAGGCCATGACAACTGCACCTGGTCTCTGCCTTATGGATTTTCTTGGTGAGAATAATAAGTATGAGAAAGCAGAAAGAACTAGAAAGGCCTGTCATCGTACAAAAAGGAAATGAAACGTTAAAAGGAGGAATCTCTTCGGCTGTTAACTCCAGGAACTCAATGAAGCCAAGTCACTAGCCCGAGGTTGCATATAGGGTCGCCTGGATGCTACTTGGGGGCTCTGGGTTTTGTGCTCCGCCGCAGCAGGCAGGCGGTCGTGGCGAGAGTGCACTAATAGTGACGGCGCTGATGACGGAGCCTCCGACCGGCGGGTGGCGGGTGAGAAGCGGCAGATTCTCGCGTCGGCCCTCACAGATTGGCTGTGCGGCTCAGCGCTGCGGGACAGTCTACGAGATCGGCACCCTGGGGCTCAGGCTCTGTAGTTCCCGGTCCTCGGCCTCCCACAGGTGTGGGCGAAAGCCTGCCATCTCGGCCGGGGACCAGCAGGCGGCGGTCTGCTGTAAGGGGGTCTCGTGCGATCAGCCCCAGCAACCCAGCTGCCCTCCCGAGGCTCCCGGGAGGCGACGCTGGGAGGACAGCAGAGAAGGCCAGGGACAGCCGCTTCTGGATTGCTTGAACCTCATCCTCACTAAATCGGAACACCTGCACCATGGGCGTTCGCATGACACAGGTGCAGTCCAGACACGCCCTGTCACCGCACCCTGCGTCCCTGCTTCGGATCTTCGGAATTCGGGGCGTCGGCTCAAAACTAGGAACGAAAATGGGCCTCTGCTTCTAACCCAAACCCGACAGGTGAGGGAATCCGGCACGGCAGGGGGAGGGAATCAGACTTGGCTTCACTCCTCGAGGCCACCTACCCTGACGAGGGTGTGGTCTTTAGACCGCCCCGCCCCACGGTGGGCGGGCTGAGCGTACGGGTCCCGCCTCCTGCCTATAAGAGTGGTGCGGCACTGCAGCTCCGCAGATCTCACCGAGACCCGTGACCCCGACTCAACGTGAGACGCACAACCCAGACTCATCATGGTGAGTGAGTCCCCGTGGGATCTCTCTGGTCCTGTAAATGTCACGCTCCTTTGGGGAACTCCCTCTTGAGAAGCCGAGGACCCTTCACTTAGCTTTCCAAATCTCCGGGAGATGCAAGAGTTTTGCACTCCCCCCGCCCTCCCGGTGACTTTGGCCTGGTGTGTTGTCCACCTTCAGAGTCTGGGGACCGGGGAGGGATGTTTCTTCACTAGCAGAGAGGAGCCCTACTGTAGTGCCCTCCTGCCGAACCAAGCGTCTTATGTCCCAACTCTCCTGAGGGGAGTCACGCGGTCCTGCGTCCAGTCCTCTGTTCGGGCGGCGGAAGACCTGCTAGGCTGCCCCCGTCACCCATCCCTATCCCCTGAGTCCCTGGAACTGACCCAACACGTGCTTGGCGCCGGATGGTAGAAGGGGTTACTTAGTACCGCACCTCGTCTTCCTCGGTGTGCCTCCTTCCCACTTACACCCCCATACGTGACTCAGCACCCCCTTCTGAGCCAGGAGGGGTTGCGGGAATGGGGCTTGGCCTGGGGAGGCCAGCGGGCCCCTCCTACGGGAGCGCTGGTGTTAGGAGGACAGGCAGAGACAGCTGGCGCTGATCGACAGCCCTGGCCGAGGCCAGGTTGGCGGGGGAAGGGAAAGAGGTGTATGTAGGGGGTTGTATTTATAGCTCCGGAGCGGGGGCAGAAACCCAATCCGGGCTTTCGGCTGGGAAGTAACTGGAAAGACTCCAGTGGGAGAGCAGACTAGGGCCCAGGTACAGATGGCTCTCCCCTTGCCTGGTATGTGAGGCAAGGCAGGTTTCCTCAAGGGCCTCCTGGCAGGTTCCACTTCCTTTTCTAGGTACGTAGAAATTGCAAAAACAACCCCCCCTTCCCGCGCGCGCGCACGCGCGTCACTTGGTTATGGAGAGGGTGCTGCAAGGGTTAAATTATAGACTGCCTGGCCGGAGCCTCGGACGGCCAGTGCGCCAGTATACCTGTATTGCCTGCACCTGCCGTCAGCGCTTACCCGCATTATTGCTGCTATTTCCGTGCGGGCTGAGGCGGAGGATGGAGGTGGTGAAGCCATGCAGAGTGTGGGGGTGGAGGTGGGGAGAGAAGCCAGATGGGATTGATTCCCCAAGGCCAGATGGGATTTAAAGGTGGTGGGGGTTACCGTATTCTGATGGCCAGAATGGTCAGTTAATACCAGATGGAAGGTTGAGACACCTCTTTGCCCACAGGAAAGAAGGGGAGAGGGTCGTGAGAAATTTTATCTTCAAGGCAAAAGATTAACCAAGTAGGAGGGTGCTAGCTATAAAATGTAAAAGATATTTTAGAAGCTGCATGGACTGGAGGCAGCTGGAAAGCCTGTCTCTGTCTGTCTGTCTGTCTGTCTTGTCTGTCTGTCTGTCTCTCTCTCTCTGTCTCTCTCTGTCTCTCTCTGTCTCTCTCTCTCTCTCTCTCTCTCACACACACACACACACACACACACACACCCTGTTGTAGCTGCTGCAGCCGTGCCTGTCATGTGTACAGCATTGCCCTCCCTGTCCTCTCTGGGTGTCCCATGGATGTAACAGGATTATACAGCTCTCACTTGATAAATTCTCTAAGGGGTCGGTCTGCCCTGCTGGACACCTCCAATCTGGGGAGCCCTGTGCTGAGGAGACTGGAGAGGCCGCCAGTTGCTTCTGACCTCTGTCGGCTCCAACCTTACCATACTTTTACCAACTGAGTAATCTTAGCTAATAGGTGACAGCCTGGGAGGGGACCTCATTAAGTGAGGAGTTGTGGATGTGGCACTTATGCTGTGACCTTTTCTGTATCCCTCAGCGTGAGTGCATTTCAGTCCATGTGGGGCAGGCAGGTGTCCAGATGGGCAATGCCTGCTGGGAGCTCTACTGTCTGGAACATGGGATTCAGCCTGATGGACAGATGCCCAGTGATAAGACCATTGGTGGAGGGGATGACTCCTTCACCACCTTCTTCTGTGAAACTGGAGCTGGAAAACATGTGCCTCGGGCAGTCTTCGTGGATCTGGAGCCTACTGTGATTGGTGAGCAGGGGTGGAGGGTTCACTTTTGAGGAAAGTCCAGTGTCTCTTGCAGTGTGTCTAGACTGGGTTTTTGTGATCTTGAAGCCCCTTGACTTTATTTGATGATGAAGATGGATGCTGACCCTGGGCTGGCAAAAGAATGAGCTAGTCTTCCATGTATCTTCTGCTCTTGAGGGTGGGGAGGAGGAGAGTCTCTGCTGAGCATAACCTTGTGGTTTTTTGCCTCAGCAATGTGATATATGGTCTTTCAGATGAGATCCGAAATGGCCCATACCGACAGCTCTTCCACCCAGAGCAGCTTATCACTGGGAAAGAAGATGCGGCCAACAACTATGCCCGTGGCCACTACACCATTGGCAAGGAGATCATCGACCCAGTGCTGGACCGGATCCGCAAACTGGTGAGACTATAGCTTGGCAGCTTTGGAGTCAATGTTCAGGAAGTTTTCAGATCCATTTCTGGGATCGTCTCCAGGTGTATGTTTTAGAATTCAATGCTGTTTAGGGGGGACATTCAGTCTTTGCCCTAACTTCTGAGCTACTTTAGGCCTCTCCCTACCTACATTGCTCTTTCTTCCTTGCCTTTCAGTCTGATCAGTGCACAGGACTTCAGGGCTTCCTAGTATTCCACAGTTTTGGAGGGGGCACCGGCTCCGGCTTCACCTCCCTGCTGATGGAGCGGCTCTCTGTGGACTATGGCAAGAAGTCCAAGCTGGAGTTCTCCATCTATCCAGCTCCACAAGTATCCACAGCTGTGGTGGAGCCCTACAACTCCATCCTGACCACCCATACCACCTTGGAGCACTCAGACTGTGCCTTCATGGTGGACAACGAGGCCATCTATGACATCTGCCGCCGTAACCTGGATATCGAGCGTCCAACCTATACCAACCTCAACCGCCTCATCAGCCAAATCGTCTCCTCCATCACAGCTTCCTTGCGCTTTGATGGGGCCCTCAATGTGGACCTGACAGAGTTCCAGACCAACCTGGTGCCCTACCCTCGAATCCACTTCCCCCTGGCCACCTATGCACCAGTCATCTCTGCAGAGAAGGCCTATCACGAGCAGCTGTCAGTGGCAGAGATCACCAATGCCTGCTTTGAGCCTGCCAACCAGATGGTGAAGTGTGACCCTCGGCATGGCAAGTACATGGCCTGCTGCCTGCTGTACCGTGGAGATGTGGTGCCCAAGGATGTGAATGCTGCTATCGCTGCCATCAAGACCAAGCGCAGCATCCAGTTTGTGGACTGGTGCCCCACAGGCTTCAAGGTTGGTATCAACTACCAGCCACCCACTGTGGTGCCCGGGGGTGACCTGGCTAAGGTGCAGCGTGCAGTGTGCATGCTGAGCAATACCACTGCCATTGCTGAGGCCTGGGCTCGCCTGGACCACAAGTTTGACTTGATGTATGCAAAGAGGGCTTTTGTACACTGGTATGTGGGTGAGGGCATGGAGGAGGGTGAGTTCTCTGAGGCTCGAGAGGATATGGCTGCCCTGGAAAAGGATTATGAGGAAGTAGGCATCGACTCCTATGAGGATGAGGATGAGGGAGAAGAATAGACAGCTGCTTGGAGCCTGTTTTCATTGTTTATTGCAAAATCCTTTTGAAATAAAGTCTCCCTGCACGGTTTCTTGTCCCCTTTGTGACTGCTTGAGCTTCTGCTGTGGCTGCTACTTCCCGCTACTTGCTGCTCGTGACCTTTTACCATTATGTGGCTGAAGGTGGGCCCCGTATTGAGCCTCAGAAAGTATGAACTTAAGGACTTTGATGTAAGGTCCTAAGGACACCCAGAATAGGAAAGAAACAAGGACTAAATCCTGGACTTGTCTGTTTAGCTATAAACTATTGCAAGATCCAATCCTTCACTTTTCCTAATAGTAATTGATGTCTGGTAGATTTTTTGTTTTGTTTTTGTTTTTCCAAGTGTCTGGTGGTTTCTATTGGATGATTGACTGCTTTTGCTCTTGCTGCTGCTGCTTCAAACTCAATGGCTTTGGAAGCAAGACTTGGCCCAAGCTTCGTTGTACACTGAGGGTTTAGGAATGGGGGCTGGGCGGGCCCAAAGTTCCTGGGCGTAGAGCCACCTCACAAACTTGGGGGATGGGCGGGAACAAGGGCAATCTCCTGGTTGTTTGTGCCACCCCACCTCCAGCAGCTTTGCATAGCTTGCTGTCTATCTTGCTTACTGGGGCTTGAGCTATGCTATTAAAAGTCAGGATGTCTCCCCTGTTTGTGTTCTTTTGGCCTCAGCCTCTGCTCGGGGTGGAAGCCTGCCTGGACCCTAGGGAAAAATTATACTTCACTAATAGGCACCCTAGGACTCAGGTTGACGTCAGCATGTAGGGGTGGGCATGGCTTGGGGGAGGAAGCTTCAAAATCTCCAGGACAGCCAATCCTGCCCTTGCTTCCCCTCCCTGGTGATTCAGGGACGCAGTGCCCTTCCCTGAGGAACTGGTTTAAAGCCCAGCTAAGGCAGGGTGCCTGTTTACTCAGCAAATGGGGCAGGAAGTGCCTGCTGGATACTGCCACAGGCCACTGGCCTCATCAATTATTAACTGTGTATGAGCTAGGATAGTCAGGGAGACTGGAAAAAAATGGAAGCCAGTTCCACTCCCTCTGTCCTCAGCTGAGGAAGGGAGACCTAGTATGTTCCACCCAGAGGTCATGGAGTTGGCAAACCTGCTGGGCTGGGCTGTTCTAAGCTACCCACCTTCAGAATGAGTGACAGAACTAGTTGAGTGTGCTTGCAAAGGGACCCTGGTCCCACTCTTCAGCACAGGCAGAAACCAGCTCAAGCTGGAGACTCTGGTTTTGACCATGGGAAGCTTAAAGACCTGTCTGCTGCCAAGCAGTCAAATCTCAAGAAGTCTTGTCTGCCTCTGCCATCACACCAGTCCCTCCTCCCAGGCTAGTCCCTTGGAAATGGCAACCAGACAGTTGGTTCTTTTTCTCTCCAGACACAATGACCTAAAATACACATGCTCTGTTTTCACTTTATTCTCCTGTTTATGTATTCTCCTGCTCCCAGATTTGGAGGCAGAACATGATGTGTGCCCAGCAGTCCAGCTTTGAGCCCTATTTTCTGTTTCACTTTCCCCCAACTCACCCTAGGCTCCTTGCCTAGGTACTGGGATAAGAGAGCAGAGCACTCAAGGACCCACCATCCTTGCCCCTAGCTGTAAGAGCCATCCTGGGTAGAGTGGAAGGAGTTCCCACGAGGGATGAAAACGTCATCCTATCAGATTTGGGTGGTGTGCTGGCCAGGAGCAGGTGGCTGCAATGCCTCCAACTGACTGAGGAGGACAGGAATGTGAGGGCGCTGCTGGGGGTCCACAGTCATCATAGAGCCCAAAAGCTGTCGCAATGCTGAAGAATGCCTGTGGGAGGTGGAGGGCAGAGAACTGGAGGTCGCCTAGAATAAAGTTGCTAAGATTCCATCTTGGCTGGCTCTAGGCAAGAGTCTACGGTGCTTGGTGTCCCTCTTGCTGCTCACCTGGGGCTTTGTGGGATGCTGAGTTCATTCTGCACAGCAAGGGCCACACTGTCACCCTTCTGGAACACCATATCATAAGGGCCTTCCCCAAACATCATGGCATAAAGCACGCAGCCTAGGGACTGAGCATAATTTGGTTAGTTTCTGGAAAGGGAAAAATGGTATCCCTTTTATTGCTACGGTAAAAGGAGACCACTTAAGCTAAAACTATGCTAACCTCACCCTGAGGAACTGTTAGCAGGAGGCCTCTTCAGCCCCTGCTTAGCTACTGCCTCCAGCAGTTGACCCAGTTTAGCCACAGAGATTACTCCACTTCCTGAGAACGATATCACTGATGGTTCCCAGGAAGGAAGTGGGGAACTATGGTGACATACTGTGGTTCTGGGGTTCCATGCAACAGAAACCAAAGGTCCCCTTCCCTCTACTCCATAGTAACTACAGAGCCACACCCTTCCCCACCCAAGTTCCCGCCTATATGCTCCTCACCCAGACATCAGTCCGCTCATCGATGACACAGTGGCTCTGCACAGAAAAAAGCTCTGGTGCCCGGTAGGAGATGGTGCACCGCTGGGCCGCCCAGTCCTGGAACAGTGTCCCCAGAGCTCAAAAGTGGAGCACAAGCCATATCATATGACCAAATCAGTGCATGCATCAGAATGAGTTGGGGATGGGGGGGAAATGGCCAAAGGAACCTGGAGACTCTCTTACCTGTAGAGCTAGGGCCTGGCGTGAGCCCTCCACCTGGATGCAGGCTTGATTCATAGAACCCAAATCCATTAAAACTGGCTGCCCCTCATCACCAAGCAAAATATTGGTGGGCTTCAGGTCCCTGGAGGGAAGTGAAAATGACCCCAAGGGCATCCTGGACAGGGAAGCTGGGATGCCAGGGAGCACCATGGGGAGAGTGCAGACATATCCCAATTCTCTTGACCCAGCTCTTCCCCTGGGTGCCAATAAGTGCACAGGGCCCTCCCACTGACCTGTGAGCATAACCTTTGGCATGAATGGCCTCAAGGCCTCTGCAGATACCCAGCAACAATGGCAGGATTTGGTCTTCAGTCAGGAAGTTGCCTTGGTCCTTCAGTCTTTCTATCTCATTCCACAGTGTACCTCTCTACAACACAAATTTTCCTATGTCGAGATGGTTTTGAAATCTCTTCTTACTACCTGGCACTCCTTTCTATTGGGTCAAGGCCTGTCAACCTTTTACCACATACACTGTTACTGATCATCCGGGGCTCTGTGGGATGTCCAATTCCTATGGGACCCTATGGTCCTGTAAGCCCCAAATTTAAAATGACCCAAACCAGTACGTGTGTTCCCAGCATGTTTATGTCTGACCACCCACAGAGTCCTTGGTAGGGCTGTGAAATGTGTTACAATCCCCTCTGTAACCAGCAGTCTTTCTGACCTTGAAGAAGGGTAGCAGCAGCCAGGCTTCATGCTTAGCACCTCGTTCCTTCAAGCAGTACGCCACGAGGCGAAGGATGTTGGGATGGTGGAAGAGACGATGCATGTCCGCCTCTCTCTGGGCCTCTTCCTGGTCCTGCTGCTCATGACACAGGATTCGCTTCAGGGCGTAGAAGTGTCCATCATGTAACCCCTCCACTAGGTCCACATAGCTGAACCCACTGTGGGCCAAAGGGGTCAGTGAAGGACCATGTCATCTCCCACAGGGGTCAGTGAAGGACCATGTCATCTTCCACAGGGTCAGTGAAGGACCATGGTCATCTCCCACAGGGTCAGTGAAGGACCATGGTCATCTCCCATCTCCCACAGGGTCAGTGAAGGACCATGGTCATCTCCCATCTCCCACAGGGGTCAGTGAAGGACCATGGTCATCTCCCATCTCCCACAGGGGTCAGTGAAGGACCATGGTCATCTCCCATCTCCCACAGGGGTCAGTGAAGGACCATGGCCATCTCCCACAGGGGTCAGTGAAGGACCATGGCCATGTCCCACAGGGTCAGTGAAGGACCATGTCATCTCCCACAGGGTCAGTGAAGGACCATGGCCATCTCCCATCTCCCACAGGGGTCAGTGAAGGACCATGGCCATCTCCCACAGGGTCAGTGAAGGACCATGGTCATCTCCCATCTCCCACAGGGGTCAGTGAAGGACCATGGTCATCTCCCATCTCCCACAGGGGTCAGTGAAGGACCATGGTCATCTCCCATCTCCCACAGGGGTCAGTGAAGGACCATGGCCATCTCCCACAGGGGTCAGTGAAGGACCATGGCCATGTCCCACAGGGTCAGTGAAGGACCATGTCATCTCCCACAGGGTCAGTGAAGGACCATGGCCATCTCCCATCTCCCACAGGGGTCAGTGAAGGACCATGGCCATCTCCCACAGGGTCAGTGAAGGACCATGGCCATCTCCCATCTCCCACAGGGTCAGTGAAGGACCATGGTCATCTCCCACAGGGTCAGTGAAGGACCATGGTCATCTCCCAAAGGGCTTGGACCCAGAGGGATGCCCTTGAGGAGGGGTGCCTCTCCCATGGAGTAGAAACCCTCCCAACATGTGGCTCTCATATAGCTTCAAGACTTAGGGTTTGATCTCCTCAAGAGCAGGGACACAGATATCACTGAGGTTCCATGGTCTGACTACAAGATATTCAATTAATATCAAGTAGCAATAACATCAATCAGGTGTTTATGAGCCAGGCACTGGGTGACACGTTTAAAAAAAAATACTATCTCAATTCTCGCAAGCCCCTCAGTGAGAAATCTCTATTAAGCAGAGAAGGAAACCATTTACTTAAGGTCCCACAAGATGCATCCAGAAGGCCAGGGTTCACAGTCCACTTCCCTGACCCATGCAGCTGAGTCGGGTGAGGTAGAATCTAAGGCTAATGCTCTGTTTCAATCACATGCTGACCACTGTCCCTAAATGACCTGGGACTAGCTAAGTGACTTCCAAACACTCACCCCTCCCCCAATTTCTGGATGAAGAGGTAACGCTTATTGTCAATGATGACAGTTCCCCGGGAGCAGACACACAGTGCGTGGCCCATAATGTCTCAGTCATCCTCTTCAAGGATGGTCTTTCTTCCAAGGAGAGTGGGCTCTTCCAGGCAATGGGCTGGGGGCCCAGCGGAGCATGCTGGAATGAAAACAGCAGGTCGAGGGTCAAGAACAATCCCGAGAGCCACTGGGGTACCCATACAGAGAGCTCAGGTCCAGCTCCGGGAACCGAGATCCTCGTCTAAAGGAAACAGGCCCCGGAGACTCCAGAGCTAAGAAGGCTGAGTTCTGGCGCTTCAACGCGTCAAGCCACGCTGCGTCTTACCAGGCCGCTTCCTTCAACCCCGGCACACCTTCGGCCAGGTCCGGCTCTCACGCCCGTCGGGCATGAGGTGGCTGCGCAGGAGCGGGACTTGAGCCCACCTCTGGCTGATCCCACCCTCCGTCGCCCGGGACCGAGTCCAGGGTCTGCCAGTACAGACTCTCCACTGACCTGCTTCGGGCCTGAGCAAAGGGCCAGGGACCGGAAGCCCCGGTGACATCATCAGTTCGCGTCGAAGTAACGGCCCGCTGTATCCTAGCAACAAGAGGCAGCAAGAGGCTATGGGGACCCGGAAGTGAGAGTCGGGGGCCCGGCTAGACCTGGGGGGGTGGAATGGTTTCTGTATCTCGCTGAGGGTTCCCATTTGGCCTTCAGGAAGGGTCAAGACTCAGGGACTTGTACCAAAGGGGAGCAAAACCGGGCTCTGCCTGAGGCCCCTAGGACCTCCGTCCCCCAATGTCGAAGGTAGGAGGCCTCAGAAAGTGGCCTACTACAGTCTAGCCTGAAGGAGGGCCCAGGGAGGGGTGGGTCCTGGCCCTTATATGCCTGGACGTCTGATCCCTTAACCCTTCCAAGCCTCTAGCCTGTGTTCCATCGCCTTAGCTAGAGTCGGAGTGCGCCTTTGAAACAGATTGCCGGTTTCTAAATCTGGTCCTAATAGTCTCCTAGCTGTGCGACCTCCAGGAAGTGACTTAGCCTCTCAGATCCTCACTCTTCCCAGTTGTAGCAGCAGTACCTAGGGAAAAGTGTTGTGAATTATAAGGCCAAACTGACAACTTGCAATTCCAGCTCAATTGAATTAATTGTGACTTTGGACAGCCACTTAATTCATTTTCCTTGTCTGTAAGATGAAAATGGTAATTATTTCACCGTATTTTTCTTTCAAGATTAAATGAAGCATCTGTCATACATTATCTGACACATAGCCTTCAATGTGTGTCGATAAATAGAAATTGTTGTATTTTCTACCCTGATTCTCACATCTACAGCTGTGAAGGCAGGAGAAATGGAAAATTGGATTTCCAAGCCTTTGTATTATGCAGTTGTTTTCACATCTCTTGCCTAGATAGGCAGATATGTTGGGAAGGGGTGCACCTTCAAAATAAAAGAGAGAGAGAGAGAGAGAGAGAGAGAGAGAGAGAGAGAGAGAGAGAGAGAGAGAGAGAGAGAAACAGACTCCTTGTAACCCGGTTTCCCTTTTCCATAGTCATGAGCACCGTGAAGATTTTCACTGTTTCTGCACCTGTTTTAGCTCTTCGTTCTGTTGCCACTCATAGATTTAACCTGATGTGTGCCAGATCCTTTGCTGGTCATGGAGATTCGAGACACCCTACAAGTCCTTAGAGAGTTCGGTATAGAAGAGCAAGGCACCTTATTAAAATATAGATTCTGATTCTATTGTCTTGGGTAGGACCCGGGACTCTGCATTTCTTACAAGCTCCCAGGTGCTGCTGCTGAAGCCCATTAGCGAACAGCGCTTTGAATAAAGGCGAGATGTAAAGGATTTTTCAAACTAGTGCAAGGTTGGGTGGCTGCCGGTCAAAGGCAAAGTCCGGGTTAACTGTCTGAAAACTTGAGGTGGTCTCCGCCTCTCTGCTTGCTGAGGTTCCCTCCCAGGAATCTGACACATGGTGGGTGGGGCAGCCCTCACAGAGCAGAAGAACCCTGTAAGTGCCATGGCTGCTAAGATGTTGCCTGATCCGACTTCCCTGCTGCTGCGGCTTGTGATGCTGCTGTTACTGCTGCGGTCCCAGGTAAACTGAGCGGGTCGAACTGCCTATCTGGATGTGGGGGAAGGGAAAGAGTCGGCAGAAGAGAGATGGTCACGCACAGACAGGGTCAATTCGGTCTCTTAAGCTTTGGGTAGACATTGACCCTCGCTCCAGACCTCTGCAGAGCAGGCTTTTTCCCTTGCAGGCAGAAGCTCGCTCCTTCGTAGTGGATCGGCAACATGACAGGTTCCTCCTGAACGGCGTCCCGTTCCGCTATGTTTCTGGCAGTCTGCACTACTTTCGCGTACCGCGGGTACTTTGGGCCGACCGGCTTCTCAAGATGCACTTGAGCGGCCTCAACGCTGTACAGTTGTAAGAAGTGCTCTCTAGGGCTTGGCGGAAGCGACATTTACTCTTCCTTAGAACAGGGTCCCCAGGCAAACAGACTGGGTTTGAAAAGGGTTTGAGTTCCAGGACTCCTCAGGCAAGGGTGGGAAATGGCGGCCCAGAACCTCCTCCTAGCTGCTTCTCTCTCTCAAGTTCTGAGTCCCCTAGTTACCTCTGGGTCCTGTTAACATCTTCCTTTCTCAGTTACGTGCCCTGGAACTACCATGAGCCAGAGCCTGGGATCTATAACTTTGACGGCAGCCGGGACCTCATTGCCTTTTTGAATGAGGCAGCTAGAGCGAACCTGCTGGTCATACTGAGACCCGGACCTTACATCTGTGCCGAGTGGGAAATGGTGAGTGAGTCGGAGAAGGGCAGAACCAAGGGCGAAGCTCTTGTGGGGTTTCATACTCTCCTTTCTGCTCATACTGTAGAGGGCATTTCTAGCACTATCCTCAACTCCCTTCTTCTGTCCTCCCCCACTGCACCCCAAAACAAAGCTATCTCTAGCTCAAGAGGTAGTTTATCTGGTAATCCCAGCATTTAGGAAGCTGACGGGAAGACTGTTGTTTGAATTTGAGGCTAGCCTGGGCTACAGAGTGAAACCTTGTAAAACAAAACAAAAACCCTTCGTGCTTATACGTTGCGTTTGTGTTTTTCTCAAGGGAGGTCTCCCGTCTTGGTTGCTTCGGAAACCTAATATTCACCTGAGAAGCTCAGATCCAGGTGAGTTGAGACAAAAGATTCGAGTGTCTGAACAAAGGACCATCCGTTACTTGGAAGTCATCTTTATGAATAGTGTGTGAGGGGAACCCTGGCAGATTTCATGGCAGACAAGGGTGGCGGAGGCAGATTCTTTCCTTCATGTTTAGCAGAATGCTAGAAACTGAGAACTGAGAGACCTAGTCCCTGTGCAAAATAAAACTTATAATAAATAATGTGTGATGCATAGCAGGCATCACTTACAAGGTAGAGACAGGAGGGTCAGGAGTGACGGTCACCCTCTCCAGTCTCAGTCTGCTTCCCATTTCCCTTTCCTCTAAGTGCTGGGTTGTCCCAGGATACAGTCCTTGGATAGACCTGTTTTCCAATTTTGTTCTAATTTAGGCAATCTCATCATTGTGTACTAGAATTAACCCTTGAAGAATCGAACGGCTCCCAAATATGCACCTCTCTGCTAGTACCTTTTCCATGACTTCTCTAAACATACGAAAGTCCTATGTTGCTTCCCTTTATAGGCAAATAAAAAGTGCGTGATATAACTGAAACTACGCTTCTGGTATGGCTTTTCAAACCAGCTGCTTGTTTCTAAATCTCCCCTTGTCAGCTAATGGCACTCCATCTTCTACCTGAGCACTCTAAATACTGTAGTGTAACCCTTCACATCTCTCCTGCATTCAGACTCTTTCCTGTCACCCTGTGTTCAGCCCATCAGAAAAATCTTGTACGACTCTCAACAACATTGAATTTCATTATTTCCGGTCACTTCCACTACCACCTACTGGCCCAAGCCTCCCCTTGCTGACATCTTCATTTTTTTCATCCTGTTGCTCTTTCTGGTTGGTTTCCCTCCTGAATAGTCTGAGCCAGTGAGCTTCTATAAAATTAGTTTGAATATACATATCAAGTTATATCATGTATCCACTTAAACCTCCCTAATAAGCTTTCCTTTTATTCCGAATATGAACCACTAATCCCTGAAACAGTCTAGTAGGCCCTAGGCTCATCTCCCTGGTGTCTGCCCTGCTGCCCCAGCCACACTGCCTCATGCTATCTTCACACTTAGCAGCCTCAGGTAAGGCCTTCATATGTGGCATTCCCTCAGCACCTCTGCGGAAGTCACGTTCAGGGACACTTCCTGCCACCTTCTAAATTTTAAGCATCCTAGACTGAACTATCATATGCCTCCTTTCCTGCCTTGTAGTTTCTGCCATGTGTTAGTCTGCCTCTACTCCTAAAAAGAGAATTCATAAGTCAGAGGTTATTTTTGTTTTCCCTTCTATATAACCAGAACAGTGCTTGAAGCACAGTCAGCACCCATACATATTTGTTGAATGAATAAATATGGTTTCATATGTGCTTGGGTGGACATCCTTTATGTAAAACATAAAAAGAAAAAAAATACGGGCTGGATAGATGGCTCAGCAGTTAAGAACAATGACAGCTCTTCCAGAGGTCCTGAGTTCAATTCCCAGCAACCACATGGGGGCTCACATCTATAATGGGTTCTGATGCCCTCTTCTGGACTGAAGGTATATGTGCAGATATAGTACCATATATAAAAACAAAAACAAAAAAGGAAAGAAAAATAATTAAATGATTTAAGTATTTTTAATGGGCAGAGCATGGCAATACATGTCTTTAATCCCATCACTTGGATGGCAGAAAGAATCAGGTAGATCTCTGTGAGTTCAAGACCAGCCTAGTCCACATAAGAAATTCTAGTTCAGTCAAGGCTACCTTATGAGACCTTTTTTCCAACAAAAAAGAATTAAAAAATAATGCTTATGAGGCCAGGTGGTGGTGGCGCACGCCATTAATCACAGCACTCGGGAGGCAGAGGCAGGCAGATCTCTGTGAGTTCGAGGCCAGCCTGGTCTTCAAAGAGAGTTCCAGGACAGCCTCCAAAGCCACAGAGAAACCCTGTCTCGAAAAACAAAACAAAACAAAATAATGCTTATGAGATGGGCCAGCAGGTAAAGGTTCTTGCTTCCAAACCTGCCAGCCTGAGTTTGAATCCCTTGGATTCAAGTTGTCCATGGCTTGAGTGCTTGAGTGCACGCACGTGCATACACACATATACACACTAAATAAATATTATTAATAACTTCTTTTAAGCTGGGCGTCGGGGGCATACGCCTTTAATCCCAGCACTCAGGAGGCAGAGGCAGGTGGATCTCTGTGAGTTCGAGGCCAGCCTGGTCTACAGAGCGAGTTCCAGGACAGCCTCCAAAACAATACAGAGAAACCCTGTCTCGAAAAAAGAAGTTCTTTTAAACCAGATGGTGGAGGTACACACCTTTAATCCCAGTACTTGGATGACAGAGGCAGGCAGAGCAGATCAGATCTTTGTGAGTTTAAGGCCAGTCTGATTTATATAGTGAGTTCTAAGATAGTCAGTGCTACATAGGAAGATCCTGTCTAAAAAAAAGAATTAAGACATAAGTAAAAATGCCGGTGACCAAGCCTAATAGCCAGAGTTTGATATTTGGGACCCAAATGGTATAAGGAGAAAAACTGACTCCTGAAGGTTGACTTTCACACCTGTGCCACAACAGCACATACATTTATTCACACACACACACACACACACACACACACACACACACACACACACACTTTACTCTCAACAACATTGAATTTAACTACTTCTTGTTACCCAGACTGCTGGCCTAAACTACCCCCCGGCTGTCATATCATAATAGCATATACATAAGCAGACACATATAAATAAATAAATGTAATTAAAAAATATGAGCATGGCTGGGCGTTGGTGGTGCACGTCTTTAATCCCAGCACTCGGGAGGCAGGGGAAGGTGGATCTCTGTGAGTTCGAGGCCAGCCTGGTCTACAGAGTAAGTGCCAGGATAGGCTCCAAAGCAACACAGAGAAGCCCCATTTTAAAATATATATATATGAGCATAAAGAATTGAGGCATAAATTAACATCAACTAGAGAAAGGGGGATGGGAGAAAAAGTGTCAGGAAGAGAAAATAACATGCATGAATGCATTGCAGAGGGGGGATCATGAAAGTAATAAATAGTTGAGAATTTAGGGCATGAAATCACATGGACTGTTCATTAGATAAGAGTACATACAAGTCAAATACTACTTTTCTGTGAAATTTCACATCATTCTTAGGTTGACTATATAATAGCTCCATATTATGTGTTTAGACTTTTTTTCTTACGTGGAGTCTTAGGAAACTCTATAGTTTCCTGTACTCCTAGAGCTTCCTCTAAGAGTCACGGCTCCTGAGACTGTGGAGGTGACTCAGTACATCAGAGTGCGAGCTTCTAGAAAAGCCAGGTTTGATTTCTAGCAGCTATATGGTGGCTCATAACCATCTGTAACTCCAGTTCCAGAGGATCAATGCCCTCCTCTGGCCTCCTTTGCAGTCACCAAACACATGGTACAGAGACATAACATGCAAGCAAAACATTCATAATATAAAAAACAAATAAAAATAATAAAATCCCCCAGATTTATTTGTGAGCCAGGGTAAGGGAAGCTACAGCCTAGAGTGTAGCACTAAGGAAAATATCAAGGATTTTGGGAAGGGGAGCTGTGAAGGTAGTGGCTCCTAATGAGCAGCCCATACTGCTCCTTCCTTTAGACTTCCTTGCTGCTGTGGACTCCTGGTTCAAGGTCTTGCTGCCCAAGATATATCCATATCTCTACCACAATGGGGGCAACATCATTAGCATTCAGGTATGAATGGGAAGTGGGCTGGGCAAGAGAAGTAGGTACAAGGTGTCCTCATAGCTGGGCCCCTCTCTTTCCTTTTCCCTGGCAGGTGGAGAATGAGTATGGTAGCTACAGGGCCTGTGACTTCGAGTACATGAGACACTTGGCTGGCCTCTTCCGCGCATTGCTAGGAGACAAGATCTTGCTCTTCACCACAGATGGGCCTCAGGGACTCAAATGTGGTTCCCTCCAGGGACTCTATACCACTATAGATTTTGGCCCAGGTCTCCTAAACAAGGGTTGGGAGTGAAGTCTGGGCACCTCTCTGTGATGCATGTTTTTACCCTTTTTCTTTTTGCAGCTGACAACGTGACCAGAATCTTCTCCCTGCTTCGGAGTTATGAACCCCATGGGCCACTGGTGAGGGGCCATCAGGAAGGGGAATCAGAAAAGTAACCTGGCTGGAATGGGGCTAACTTTGTCCCCATCTCACTATGGCTCCTTTCACTTCTCCCCCTAGGTGAACTCTGAGTACTATACAGGCTGGCTGGACTACTGGGGTCAGAATCACTCCACGAGGTCCAGTTCAGCAGTAGCCGAAGGACTAGAAAAAATGCTCACGCTGGGAGCCAGTGTGAACATGTAACTGGGGACACAATCATTTTCCTGGGAGTTGGGGTTTACAGTTAAGATTTGATAGGTCAGATTTTGCCCTTTCTCCCACCCACCCCCACTTTAGGTATATGTTCCATGGAGGTACTAACTTTGGATACTGGAATGGTGAGTACTGTCCCTGTGGTAGAAGCAGGAGGTAACAAGGAATCAAAATCTTGGGCTGGACAGATAGGATGTCTACCACTTTCCCCTCTAACTGCAAGATTTTCTGCACAAAGCTCTTTGTTTAGTGCTTTTGCCCTAAGATGATGTCGAATTAATTAAGTTACTTTAATCCAGGTGCTGACGAGAAGGGACGCTTCCTTCCAATTACTACCAGCTATGACTATGATGCACCCATATCTGAAGCAGGGGATCCCACACCTAAGCTTTTTGCACTTCGAAGTGTCATCAGCAAGGTGCCCTTTTATTAATTGGGGAGAAGGGAGAATGCCCACATTGTTAAGGAGCCCTACAAACTGGTGGTGTTTGTTTGGGTAACAGAGCCCTCTTAGCATTCCTTGAAAAACTTACCACTCCTGTAGGATTATCTGGGGAACTATACACATGTGAAAAATTATAGGGTCTTCATGGCTCCCTGCAGCCCATCCCTGGGTTCCAGGTCAAGAACCTTCTTTTAGGGCCTTGGATTGTTTTGCTTTTCCTATGACTACTGAGAGAATTTGGGCTCAGTTCCAGGAAATTCCCTTGGGACCTTTACCTCCCCCCAGCCCCAAGATGAAGCTTGGACCTCTGGCTGTGAACCTGGTAAGTTTCTCCTCCTCTTTCCTGGTCTTACACCATTGTTTTCTGAATCACTTACCTTGAGCAGCCGCCAATTCAGACACTTAGCAGTTTGGTTGCCCTTTGTCCTCACAGGATGGGAATTTGCTGTCTTTCCTAGACTTTCTCTGCCCCCATGGCCCCATCCGTTCAGTTTTGCCTTTGACCTTTGAGGCTGTCAAGCAGGTAAGGCTTAAAGTTGCATCTGATGGGAATGGCAGACTCCTTCAGCAGCTACAACCAAAAGTTACTCTAGCTACTAATCTTCCTCACAGAGATGGTCCTTATCACCAGCTCATCTGAAAGTCCCCATTTTTCTGTATCTAGGACCATGGCTTTATGCTGTACCGGACATACCTGACTTACACTATTGTAGAACCAACACCATTCTGGGTGCCAAATAATGGAGTTCATGACCGTGCCTATGTGATGGTGGATGGGGTAAGACCTAATTCCCAACCAACTTATGACTTCAGTTCCTTCCCTTCCCCCAAACCCTATAGCTTTACAGTTTCTCCATCTCTAACCCTTTCCCACTTGTTTTTCCACATGGATAGAGGTTCTGGTTATAAGCTGGATGAGGGAGACCATGATTAGGAATAGTTTGTTAACCAGGGATGTGGTAGGGCATAGGTGTATCCCCAGCACTCAGTAGGCTGCAGCAGGGAAGTCACAGCATGGGCTACATAGTGAGTTGTGGCTGCTGGACCACATAGAGACCCTGTATGAATGTACAGTACCAGAAGAATGGTAGATAACCAACAAGATGATTACATTCTCCTCCAAATAGTGTTCTAATGTGATTTACTATGCAGTCGCCAAGAACTGAATGCTTGGACCTTTGCTTTACTAGAGCCTATCTCTCTACCTTTTTAAAATTTTACATTACCAACATTTCCCCTCCCTCTGCTCCTCCTATCCTCCCCACTTCCCCCCCTCGCCACTCCTCCTCCATCTCCATTCAGAAGAGGTAAAGCCTCCCATGGGAGTCAACAAAGCATGGCATATCAAGTTGAGGCAGGACCAAGCTCCTCCTCCTTGCATCAAGGCTTGATGAGACATCCCATCATAGGGAATAGGTTCCAGAGAGCCAATTCATGCATCAGGGACAGGTCCTATTCCACTGCTAGGGGTCCACAAACAGACCAAGCTACACAACAGAACCTATCTCTTATCCACAGATATTCAAGGGTGTTCTGGAGCGGAATATGAAACACGAACTATATTTGACAGGGAAAATAGGGGCCAAGCTGGATATATTGCTAGAGAATATGGGAAGGCTCAGTTTCGGGTCTAACCACAGTGACTTCAAGGTAAGCTGTTTTTGCCTATGCTTCCCCACTACTGACCACCTCTCTTGGAGAACAGGGCCTAATGGAAAACTCGGTCCTTAGGCTTAGGCAGAGGCATAGTGATTGAGGATGTGGACATGGCCACTTACATTCCGGAGCTTGACTGGGGACAGTGAGGGCATGTGTGTAGACTCGGTGAATGACTTTTCATTGGCTTCCCCACAGGGCCTGTTACAACCACCACTTCTGGGGCAGACAATCCTCACCGAGTGGCTGATGTTCCCTCTCAAAGTTGATAAGCTTGTGAGGTGGTGGTTCCCCCTGCAGCTGATGAAAAGAGCACAGCCTCAAGTTTCCTCTGGCCCCGCCTTCTATTCCACAACATTTCAAGTGTTAGGCAAGCTTGGGGACACATTTCTGTATCTACCCGGATGGACCAAGGTATTGCTAATGGTGGTAGTTGAAATGTGGAGGGCACATTACAAGAAAAACAAGAATAGAAATTACTATTCTGATTAGAAACCTGAAAGGGGATAATTCCACCCTGTGGAGAGCTGACCTTTTGTTTTTCCACTCCATCCCTTCTCCAGGGCCAAGTATGGATCAATGGGTTTAACTTGGGCCGATACTGGACAAAGAGGGGTCCACAACAGACCCTATACGTGCCAAGACTTCTGCTGTTTGGTAGATCGATCAACAAAATCACATTGTTGGAGCTAGAAAGCGTGCCTCATGAGCCCAAAATCCAATTTTTGGATAAGCCTATCCTCAATAGCACTTTGCATTGGGGATATACCTATTTTCTCTCAGAAACACAAAATTCATATGAACCAATGGAGTTAAGCGGGCACTGAAAGAAAGATAACCCTTGAATCTGGGACCAGGGCAGGATCCTTTGGTGCTGGCCACAGTAACCATAAATAATCAAAGGCTACGATCCCTCTGAATGTAAGTACAGATACAGTTTTCTTGCCAAACTTTATTGTGATTAAAATTCCAAAGACAGCACTGGCTCCACACACCTCTGTGGCCGACTTTGCCCTTGTTCCCGAGTGTCCTTCACCCCCATCTTCCACATAATCTCAAGCTCCATGAGGAGGAAGAAAAACTCTAGGTCTGAATGTATCCTCTCGGGGCCCAGAGAAATCAGGAAGAAGGCCTCCCCGCCTGACTGCGATGGTCTCGGAGGCAATGAGTGGAGCAGAAAGAGAAGTCGAGGTAGTGAAAGGGAACAAGGCCTTGGAGGGACACTCCACAGCTCCAACAGCGCCTGAGCAAAGGGAAGAACAGTGACTGGACACACCTCACACACTTTCCCATCTAAGCCTTGCCCAGCCTTAAAGGTCCCAGGGACTCTCGAATCCCCTCCGCAACCCTCCTGACCACGAAGGCATCATTCCCTGTACCCCAAGTGACTCCTATGACACAGAAGCCCACCCCTTCACTCATCCCCTGATCTCCCATACCCAGCACCGACAACTGCAGCGTCAGGAACTGGAGGCCTAGGGGCTCCCAACTGGGCAGCGAGTCGGCGCTCTGCAGCCAGAGCTCTCTGAAAAACAGAATAGATGTTAAAAAAAAAAAGGGGTTCACAGAGGTGAACAGCATATCCAGGAAATGACTGCTCAATCCGGAAAGGAAGGCAGGCTCCTATGGAAGCCCTGCAGTACAAGAACCTATGGCCTCACCTTCTCTCGGTCACTGAGGGCAGCAAATCGCCGTTGTTCTTCTCGCTCCTGCTCCTCCTGCTCCTTCTGCTTCTGCTGCTGCTGTCCCCGTTGTCGTCGGGCTGCCTTCTGCTCCTTCTTCCTCATAGCCTGCCGGGCTTCCATTTCTTGAGTCAGTGGCGCTGGCACCTGGAGGATTTCCCAAAGATATTGTAAAACTACAAGAAAGTAGGAAGGACCTAGTGAGGATCTCTGATGCCCTCCCACTCTGTAGCTCCTTTTCCAGCTCACCCGAGCCTTGTTGTAATCATAGGCATCAAGATTCTTCTCCATGAACCTTCGGAATTCGTTTCGTGTTGATCTGTCAGCTGCTACAGTATAAGGTGGCCGAGCTCTAGAGTCCCTAAGGACAAAAACCCCAAACCAAGTTAACTTGCCTCCTGCTTTTCAAGTGCCAACAGGAACCGGAGCTACCTCCTTATGCTCTCTAAACTGGTTCAGGATGGAGATACTTACTGCACAGTGGGGTCAGCGCCTGCCTCCAACAGCAGACGAACTACTAAGCCTCTTCCAGCTGCGGCTGCTGCATGCAGGAGAGTAAAACCACCAGAGCCCAAGGGGGCATTGAGTAGGGACATAACGCCAGGGTCTACAGGCCCACTAGCTAGCTGGAGCTTTAGCACCTCAACATCCCCAGCACGGCAAGCAGATAGAAGCATATCCCAGAGCTCTGGCTGACCAGGGGCTTTGGCCTCATCAACCAAACTGTCCAATGGGGTTGTAACCACTTGGTCTGGCTGTGAGAATGTCTCATCTTCTTGAGACTGCTGAAGAAGTGTCACATGTGTCCCACACTGCTGATCTTGACTTCTCTCCTTCTTCTTTTTCCTCCTCCTCCGCTTGGGCAAGACCTCAAATTCACGAAGATCCAGGGTCCCCAGTGTCAATTCTACTAGTTCCAACTCTACTTGGGAGCCATCTTCTTCCTGAGACTCTGAACCTAGAAAAAATATGATGTTAGCTCCATCTAAGGAATAGGGAGAGGGTGGAAGGATGTAGGTATCCTCAGATGGGTTTACATTTATAAAAAGATACTCAGATCATCCTGAAATGAAGTGTCTTTATTCTGTCCTGGGACTCTCCCAGTGAACAGCATTAGGACAGTACAAAATAGAAGGAAGCACCATCATGGTGGTGCACGCCTTTAGTCCTGGCATTGGAAGCAGAAGGACACTAAGTTCAAGATCACCCTGGGCTACATAGAGAGCTCCAGGCCATCCTGGGCTAACTAACAAAAGACCTTGCCTCAATAAGGAGGCAGTTTGGTATGACGGCTCATGAATGTAATCCCAGCATTTGGGAGGCTAAGACAGGAGATTGCCATGATTTCAAGGCCAGTGTGGGCTACACAGTGAGTTCTAGACCAGCCTGGGTTAAAGTAAGTCTATCTCAAAACAACGTACATATATATATATATTTTTTTTTTTTTCGAGACAGGGTTTCTCTGTGGCTTTGGAGGCTGTCCTGGAACTCGCTTGGTAGTCCAGGCTGGTCTCGAACTTACAGAGATCCACCTGCCTCTGCCTCCCGAGTGCTGGGATTAAAGGCGTGCGCCACCAACCCCCGGCTTAACAACGTACCTATTTTATAAACAGATGCTGGTAGGGATGAGTGGATGGATGTGGGTATGGTTTAAGAGCTCACCTATCAAATGGTAGATGGGTCAGTTATGAGAACTGGCCACTGCATTTCCAAGGCAGACATGCAGATATATATGATAATTGCCAGATGGTGCCCAAACCTTGTTTGAGTGATTCTTCATCCTGCTCAAGTGCCTTATTTTCATCACTGGGGACCTTTGTTTTTTCTTTATCAGTAGCCTTTTTCCTCTCCTCTCTCACTGGCTTCCAATGTGTCTCAAGTGAATGAAATCTGATCATTTCTCGAGGGTCTTCATCTGCATGAAACAAAAAAGTCTTTCACAGACTTAAGTGTGGAGAAGCCAGTCCAGGTCAATTGGGCTGCAGTCCACAGGCTAGAAAACCCCATGGTATATACAGGTCTGTGTATGAGGTCTCAAGGCCTAGAATAGCTCACCATACACTTGCAAGGTCATCAGCTTATGAAGCACACGCTGAAGCTCTCCAAAAGTGGGTCTTCGGGTGGTGAGGGGGATATCCCAAAGTCGGGAATCATCCTTTTGCAAGGGTGCCCCCTGACCTCCAAAGAACAAAGACCGGCCAGAGCGTGGGGCACGTAGCAGTATTGTTTCTGCCTCCCCCAGTGCTTTAGCCCAGGCTGGCCCTGCCAGCAAGTCTCGAACATCCTAAAGAGAGTAACTCCACTTAGCATGTTTCATCTGATGTAAAGAAAAGAAAAACAAACAAACCTCCACACAAAACAATGGCCCTTTGATCATATGCAGGGAGTGTCAGCTAGAGGGAGAGAATAAAAGAATATTCCTGGAGATCTCTATTCTATTGTCTATGCAGAAAACTATAAAGACTGAGAGATCAGAGGGATATCTGTGAGTCCTAACTCACCTTATATAGCATAGCTTCATTGTAACGCCTCAAGTTGGCTCCAGCAGAACGTGATGCCCTACCCTGGGCATCCTGAAGCCCCTGGGCTGTGCCCCTCTTGGCCCGCACGGTATAACGGTGAAAGGTTTTGTGTGTCACCACTTCTCTTCTGTAGATGGTACATACTCAGTACTGGAGACCAGCTGATACTCCCACATTAATGGGATCCATCCTTAAGCCCCATGCAGCACCCTCTCACCCTTGAAAAACGGCACCAGCAAAATGCCCAGCTGCAGCCATGAGCACCACGGAGTATCTGGAACCTCCATTTTGCAGGTTCTGTATTAGCAATTCTTCCGTTTCTGGGGGAACCTATATGACAGATGCAACAGAAACATTCCACGTGATGCATGCATTGAGAACAAGAAACCATGTGTTACATTTGCATTATCTCATTTATTACCTTAGCCTCATTTCCGTTTCACAAAGAAGGATATTTGAGGCTTGGAGAAGTAGTGGTAGAATCACAATTTAGACTTAATCCCCTTATATTTGACCCTTTCAAGATTCTGGCCAGTTTCAATTCAAGGTTATGCTGTCAGGTAAGATAGCCTAACCCAAAAGGAAGAGAGGAAATAAGACATGCATTGGCTAAAGAAAACCTAGGTCCAATTTGTGAAAGCTGAGATTGATCACACAACCTGCACTGTACTTGCCTGGTGAGGGCCTAGGACACAGCGATAGGCATAAAGAAACTGGCCCTGGGCATTTCTGAAAAGGACACGATGTGGGTAGAACCCTCTGGGTCGGCTAGGTTTCTCAAACTCAGCCCTCCCCTCATCCAGTGTTGGCAAGTCCTCTTCGCTAGATGAGTCTGAGTCTTCTGACCCTGAGATGCTGGAAAGATCTCCTGAAGACAAATGTGGGACATATAAGTCTGACACACCACCTTTGTCCTTTATTCAAACCCCGTGGTGCGTTTTCCACCCACACCTGCTCTCATACACGCTTTCCCGCACCAAGCATCACCTGTGGAGCTTTGCTTTTCAAAGTCCGAAGCAGACAGGAGAGGCCTGTTCTTGAGACGCTGTTTTAGGTTAAAGCGATGCCAATCAAGCTTATAATGTTCTCTCTGGCATGAAGGAAAAGGGAGGCAGAGAGTGGGAGTACATTCTGCCTTGGCCTTGTACAGTAAGCAAAGCTAGTCACAGAACTCTAGGAAGTTTAACCAGCTAGCACCAAGTGCATTAGACAAAATATGGCTCTTTATAACTTAAGGTAAACCAGACACCTCATCCCACCCACCAGGATACTTCTGCTGCTATGAGCTAGCCCTATACCCTGGCCTTTTACCTGTTCCCGGTGGTTCTGGAAGATCTGGTCACAGGCTGAACAAAATAATTTCTCTGAAATGTCCAGAGAACATGGGGATACTTTTCTTCCTGAACTTGTGTTCTCTTTAGAACAGAAGAAAAGGATAATTGAAAGTAGAAAGAGTTTATATCCAATCCACAGTGAACCTACAATACCTAGAACTGTACCGAATACCTATTAAAAGGATAATAAAGAAGAAAAGATGGCATGACCTTGCCTTCCAAGAATTTACAATCTGGCAATCATGAAATAATGATACAGTAACTATTTTGTACAATAAATATACCTTTGAAAAGATACATGTAAAACTAACACAAACATGACATTTCAATGATCCAAATGGATTGTTTAGGGAAATCTTGTAGAAAACAAATGGAAAGTTAAACATTTTCTTTTGGTGCTGGGGCTTTAAGACCTCACATATCCTAAGCCCTAAGCAAGCCACTGCGTCGTTGTTGCACCCTTCCTTTCCAAACCCCCCACTCCCCCACCCCGCGTCTTACACCCCCCCACCGTCTATTAAGAGCTACTTAACACACTTGAAGAAGTGTCTAGCAAGGGTAAAGTATCAAAACAGCCATTTTTCCATCAATCAGGAAAATGCTTCCTGAGTCGATGTTTTCCACATCCTTAGATACACAGTATCTAAGATTAACTCTAGAAGTACACCTGTCTCTCTACACCATACTTAACTGAAGCTGCATATGGTGGTGCATTCAGGAGGCAGAGGTTAGAGGTCAGCCTGTTCTACATATCGAGTTCCAGGCCACCCAAGGCTATGTAGTAAGACCCCGTCTCAAAGCCAAACCAACCAACCAAACAAAACTACACTGATGCAGAAATGGGCAGCCCCTTATACCCCTTACATTGATGCAGAAATGGGCAGCCCCTTACATTGATGCAGAAATGGGCAGCCCCTTACACCCCTTACATCGATGCAGAAATGGGCAGCTCCTTATACCCTTTACATTGATGCAGAAATGGGCAGCCCCTTATACCCCTTACATTGATGCAGAAATGGGCAGCCCCTTACACCCCTTGATCCCAATGGCAAACCTGTGGATGTACACAGTGCCCCTGAGGATGAGTAAGCACACGCCCAGGAAAACAAGTCCAGGGACAATCTTGTACCACATCTTGATACCTAAACAAAACCTTACTTCAAGGTATCTGGACTTCAGCTCCCTCCCCAGTAAGCCCTAAAATAATAAATACTACTGCAGTACTGGGGATGGAACCCAGGTCTACTACTGAGCTACATTCTCTACCACTTAAAACATTTTTTCCTTCTGTTTTGTTTTTTCTGGATAAGATCTCATTGTATAGTCTAGGTTGTTGTTGAACTCCTACTTCTTACTGCCTTAGTTTCATAAGTGCTGGGATTACAGGTGTGTACCACAACTCCCAGATTAAAATTACTTTCAACTACGTAAAATCAGTTCCTAGATTCCAATTTACATCTTACAATTCCAGTTATAGCAGACAACCTAAGAAAAGTGCAAGAAAACACAGCCAAAGACTAACATAAAATCAGTAAATTAGTCTGTATTTAGCACAAGGTAATAGATCTGACTAAAGTCCATTTCAAGTTGAAATAGACCTAATACCTGCGATTTTAAAAGCAGTAGTATTAACGTGATGAGATACACACAAAAACTAGAGACTTATTATTTGGCAACAATTCACGGGCCACAGCCATAAATCACCCAAGGTTGAAATATATGGGGGGAGGGGTGTTGTTCAACAGAAGAATCAGTGTGGATTCCTAAACTGGGAAATCATGGTGTGAAAGTCTTCCGTGTTAACAGACTCCACGGAACCCTGTGACGTTCATCATAGGTCCATCCCAAAGCATCCCGGATACCTGGACAGGGAGTACACGACGCCCCGGGCAGAGCCTCCGCCGGTGCTTGGCTCACCAGGCTAAGGCCCCGAACGAGTGGAGCTTCCGCAGTAAGGTCCAACAGGGAGACCGAGGCAGAGGTCAGGGCTGCACCTGGAGCCGGCGACATGGCTTAAGCAGAACAACTCAGAAGCGACTTCTGGAGCAGAAACGGGGGGGGGGGGAGAAACGGGACGAGATTCTACTGCCTAGTCTCCAGCCGGCCCGGCTTGGCCATCCCCACGCAGAAACGCCCCTCGGCCCTCACCTGCCACACGAATCTGTTCTGCGGTAAAGACGGGAGGGTCTTACGGAAGTGACATGAAGAGCACCCAGGCCCCAGTCGAGCCCAGCAGTTACCAGTCGGAGGCTACCCAACCGATCGACTTGTGTCGATGCTGACTGAACCTTGTCCCTCGCCCCCGCCCTCGGAAGCCGCCACGAATGACTCGAGAGCCGAGTCGCACGCACGTCTACCATTCGAAAGCTGGATTTCTGCAACACCACACAATCTGGCGGCTACGGAGCCGCGAAGGGGACACACAGCGGCGTCCGTAGCCCAGCCCCGCATCACGTGGAGCACAGTATTGGTCCACTGCGCTACAAGACCCGCCTCCAACCTTTCGTCCTGCCCCCTGGGCCAAGAATTGGCCACCATGTCTCCACCCCCTTTGTTTATTGGCCAGACTGGCTGCGGGTGACAGTGAATGACAGACGGAGGGCCTAGCGCTCCCGGTCTGGCCGAGCCCAGAAGAACAGACCGGGCTTCTGGAATCGCCCGGGTCGCGGTTCCTGCGGTGACACGCGAGGCTGGTAACTGGAATCCCCAGACCCAGGCCCAAGCTCGCCAAGGGTGCCCACAGATCCCCAAGTGAGCTCGCGATGCGTAACGAGGGAAGGGGAACCGCGGGCGGGCCGGGGGCGCGCAGCCAGAATGTTTTGATAGAGGGCGCGCGCGGCCAGGGGAGCGCGCGTGCGCCGGGGCCGCGCGCCGGGTTGTCCGCTGTTGGGAGCCTAGCCCCCGGCCTGGGGCCGGGCGACCCTGGGGCGCGCTGTGCTCGGGTCTAGGTGGCTGGGTTTGGGGAGGCATCCCAGCCCATCAGGGTTATCAGCTGTAGGTCTGGCTCGACCCCTCCACCATCCACAAACACCCCTAAGCACAGGCTCTTCCTGGGGAGATCCATGGGCCCAGGGTCTACACCGACCAGGTGAGTGTTTTTCCTGAGGGATAGGGCTTTCGATAACCTAGGGACTCCTTCAGGGACCAGATCGGACCAAAATCCACCGTCCCTAGAGTCTTCGCTGATTTGGAGTATACCATACCCTTGACCCCACCTGGCTCTAGGCACCTGGGGAACCCACTTATTCAACCAGGATCTGGAGACTACATAGACTGGAAATTTCCCATCCAGAAACCATGCCTACCTAGGTCTTTGATGTTAGGGAAGCAGAAGGGGTTGTTCAGAAAAATCTTAAGACTCTTGTTGGGATTTTCTGGACTCAAAAGCATGCCTGATTTCTGAAGTTGAGGTAGACTGTATAGACTTGGGCCTGTCCTGATCAGTCTGCACAGGGTCAGAGCATTTAGTTATCCCTGGGTATCCTAGAAGTAGATGAATGGTCCTACATAGAATATCCAGGAGAGGTCTGTCACAACTAAAGGTGCCCTCCTTTTAGTGGAGCTTGGCTGGGTGGGAGGGTTGGATTCCTGTCTGTCCCAACTCCCCACTCTTTGAGGCCTGACACCTTTTCCTCCAGCAGCTGTCCAACCAGGGCATCCAGGACTGGCGTGGAGCAGAAACTGTCCATGGAGCTGGTAGGGCCATGTGCTTATCTTAAACATTTGTTTACAAAAATACTTCCAAACTGTTAGTCTCTGGAGAGACCAGGGTTTCCAGGAGGGGCAGGGGAGGAAATGTTCTCTTCACTGGACAGAAGATGAAGCAGTTCGCCCCACACCAAAGGGGGCAGATTCTGGCACAGTAGCCACCCAGTAAAGGTTCTGGGAATGGATGACCAGAATTAAGGGCCCTCAAGTCCCACACTTACTGTTCCTCCAGGGTTATTATTCCTGCTTGTTTCTGAGCTAAGGAAGTTAGTGTTACAGACAAATCCCAAGGATTCTTTCTCATTCCTTCTGGCCTGGTGGGCAGGACAGAAAGCAGGCAGTGCCTGATCTGATACAGGTTCTTCTTCCCCAATGGCAGGTTAACAAGCTGGACAGGTGGCTGTGGTGATGGCACAGTTTGACACCGAATATCAGCGCCTAGAGGCCTCCTATAGCGATTCGCCCCCAGGGGAAGAGGACCTGTTGGTGCACGTGGCTGAGGGGAGCAAATGTGAGTTTAGGGACTTGACAACCAGAGCAGGGGCATGGGCGGAAGTTACTGGGAGAACCCTGAGGGGGCAGGGTGGCAGGGGGACAGTTACTTCAGGGATCTGACATCTGACCACTGCTCTACAGCACCTTGGCACCACATCGAAAACCTTGACCTCTTCTTCTCTCGAATATCCTTTATGTCTCTGTGATGGAGCTGCTCTGGGACCGTTTCACCTTTCTCTGAGCTAGGTTCCTGATGGGAAATGGGGATGAGTTCCACTCCAGCCCATGGAAGGGGAAATGAAACTCGTTGTGAAATAACGATTGTTAAAAGTAATGATACAGCAGGGCGGTGGTGGTACACGCCTTTAATCCCAGCACTAGGGAGGCAGAGGCAGGCAGATCTCTGTGAGTTCGAGGCCTCCAAAACAATACAGAGAAACCCTGACTCGTAAAAAAAAAAAAAAGTAATGATAACAGCTGGGCAATAGTGTCACACACCTTTCCTCCCGGCACTTGGGAGGCGGAGCAGGTAGATCTCTGAGTTCAAGGGCAGTCAGTCTGGTGTGCAGTTCAGAGTTCCAAGACAGCCAAGGCTACACAGAGAAATCTGTCTTGAAAAAAAAAGATAACGATACCTCATATTTACTTTATGCACTTATGTTCTAAGGATCGTTAATGGTAATGATGTCTTTTGACTCTGTCATTTCTGTGTCATTTTGAATGCATTTTCTTACACTTAATAATCCTAAAAGATAAGTATGTCTGCTATTAATTTGCCGTTGTAAAAAAGCTCAGAGTAGTAACTTGTTAAAGGTCACACTCCAGAAAGTTATAGATCCAGGACTTCAGCTTGGGAATGTGATGACATCAAAATCTTGTGTTCTTAAGTGTCTGTGCTTCCTGGCCATTTGTTCTTAACACTCACACGTTTATAATCTGCATCAGAAGAATGGCTTCACGTGTATGCTCATTGGAGAGATTTTTGAACTCATGTAAGTATACAAAGGGATGGGTACTGTGGTAAAGGAATACATATCCCCATCTTCCCTTTTGCTCATCATGCCTGCCAATCCAACTCAATCCTAGGCTCCAACTCTTTACAGCTAAGGACCAGCATGGTATCAAAATCTACAGCCTCACCTCTTGCAAGAAGAGCTTCCCAGGTTATCTCTTTCATGACAACTTACAACTCACTCTCAAGGCTGTAGGATCTATGTGGTTCAGTCAGGAGGTATTAGGCTGTAGTTGAAGAAAGAGCCTGTGTTCTGTCTGACTACACATTGCCTCTGTTGCGGGTTAGAGAGCCTTTTCAGTAGGGAGCAATACTCTGGTGCTGTTGCGGGTTAGAGAGCCTTTTCAGTAGGGAGCAATACTCTGGTGTTGCCAGAGGGGGAGGAGGTAGGAAGAGTGGGGGTTTGTTTGCTTGTTTGTTTGTTTGTTTGAAACAGGGTTTCTTCCTGTATCCCTGGCTTTCCGGGAACTCCCTTTGTAGACTGGGCTGGCCTTGAACAGAAATTTACCTGCTTGATTTAACTCAAGTCTGGGATGAACTACCACACCCAGCAGAATGGGACTTCTTTTGTTGTTGTTGTTGTTGATGTTTTTCATAATGATAAGAAAGGAATTCACGCCGGGCGTTGGTGGCACACGCCTTTAATCCCAGCACTGGGGGAGGCAGAGGCAAGTGGAACTCTGTGAGTTTGAGGCCAGCCTGGTCTACAAAGTGAGTTCCATTACAGCCTCCAAAGCCACAGAGAAACCCTGTCTGGAAAAAAAAAAAAAAGGAATTCACTAACTGGGCCTCCCAGGACTTGGGAGACAGAGGTAAGGAGGATCTCTGAGTTTGAGGCCAGCCTGGTTCTACTACAAAGCAAGTTCCAGGACAGCAGGACTGTTATACAAAGAAACCCTGTTTTGAAACACACACACACACACACACACACACACACACACACACACACACACACACACACACACACACCCATAGGCCATAATCAGAAAACCTCTGAAAATCAAGTCCAATGATGGTTGCAGATTATCATGATGTGAAAATATTGCTTGGTGCTTCTGTGGCACCTAATCCTAAGAGGAAAATACAGGAGTCAATTTGTGCCTGAAATGTCTTATGAGATTGAGCAGTTGACAGAGGTCATTAGGCAGTCTCCAGCCCCTTTGATTTCCCACCCTGCTCGGTGGTTCCCAGGCTCACCGCTTCTCCACTTTATTTCGCCGGCACCTCTTTGACTTGTCGTCCATCCCTTCTTTCCAACTTCCCAGGCAGTTCCTCTTTGTGGTTGCCTTCACCACCTTCCTGGTTAGTTGTGTGGACTACGACATCCTATTTGCCAACAAGATGGTGAACCACAGTCTTCATCCTACTGAGCCCGTCAAGGTCACTCTGCCAGATGCCTTTTTGCCTGCCCAAGTCTGTAGTGCCAGGTAAGGATGAAGGCCCTGAGATACTGCCATTGAGTAGAGACTGGAGTGGGATATGAGGCAGCAACTCACTGTCAGAACATGTTGCAAAGACTCTAACCTCAAGGACCCTACCTCCCTTTCTGTTTCCCTACCAGGATTCAGGAAAATGGCTCACTCATCACTATCCTGGTCATTGCTGGTGTCTTCTGGATCCACCGGCTTATCAAATTCATATATAACATTTGCTGCTATTGGGAGATACACTCCTTCTACCTGCATGCTCTACGTATCCCCATGGTAAGAGCAGAAGTTGGGCCATTAGCAACACAGCCTAAGATATCTTAGGAAGGATGAGGTAGACGTATTTGAGCATCTCATGTCCATAGCTGTCACTGGCAGGTGCGGTAGTCAACATTCTGTTAACGTGAAAAAATATCTGAGATAATCAGTGTATTGTAGACCAAAGTTTCTGTTCTGCCTGGTCCCACTGCCCTGCAGGCCCAAATAAACACACAGAAACTTTTATTAATTAGAAACTGTTTGGCTGATGGCTCAGGCTCCTTACTGGCTGTCTGTCTCTTATTTATTAACCTATTTTTACTAATCTAAGTATTCCCACGTGCTCTTGACTTACCCAGTGATGCCCCGGCATGTTACTCCTTCTGCCTCTACATGGTGTCTCCCCAGTGGCTCCTCTGCCTTCCTCTCCCCAGCCTTCTGGTCTGCTAGCCCTGCCTATGCTTCCTGCCTGGCTACGGGGACAAATCAACCAATGAGAAACATATACAGAAGGACACCCTCCATCAGTGTATAAAG